AAAAAATTGTAATATTTTTGTGAAGACTTTGTACTTTGTTGTGCAATGTAATTTTTTGGTACACATACATGTAACTACGTAAAGTGCTTATGTAAATTGACTCAATAAAAAATGTTTTAAATACAAAAAAAAAAGTGGTCTTATGGTGGGTGAGATTATGATAATACTAGGGTAGTTAAGTGGTCTTATTGTGGGTGAGATTATGATAATACTAGGGTAGTTAAACGGCAGTTCAGGTTTTAAAAAAAATAAAATGGGACGGGCGATTGTTCGGCAGTTTTTTAAGGTGTTATTTTAATCTTTTCTGATGCCTAATAGTTTCGTCCGTAGTCATTGACGTCTATTCAAGAGTATTGATGTTTATTGCGACTACCGTGAATGAAGTTTTGTTTCAACAATGAGCTGTTATCGCTGTAAATAATGTTAAATTATTCTTCAAATGCTCAGTTTATCTTTTGAAAACAACTAATCATGCTGTTTTCCCATCAAAATCTAAGCCAAAAGATTGTACTACAACATCGGCAAATCTCTTCTGTGTTGTGTTCAATAACATTAACATATTTAAATGAGCTATGGTAAACACGTTGGCATTCTTCATCGTTTTCATTAGTTAATTAGTGATTTGACCTATCAGGTCAAAGAACATCGTCCAAGGTCAAACATGGTGGATATTCATTTCTACAGCATGGAGCGTTAAAAATGCGATTAGAATCATTCGCTTATGATGAAATAAGTGGAAATTTATTTGCATTTCATAACAATTCAACGAATTTATTTTTTGCATGTTATTATAATCATTACTAGGTAATAATCAACGTAGCATGACCGGATTGGCACAGCGATTATTTGCTACTAAGCAATGCGTCTTTATTTGAAACTTCTTTTAGAATATACTTTTGTTACTAATAAAATGAAAAAAAATAATTGTATTTGGCGCACAATGTTCGTTAATGTGATTTTTTGGAGAAAGATGCGCTGTCTACTTTTTAATCCAGCAAGAAAAAAAATGTATAAAATTTTAGATTAGCTTCTGCAATAGTTTCTTTCGTTTTGGGTGGTCCATAATCGTACTTGTTCGTCCATCCATGGGTGGTCCAACTGCCGGCACTGAAAGTCGGTGTAGGTGGATTTTTCAATGAAAATATAAGTCCCCAAAAATATTTGATGTTGATTTTTTGAAATTTTGAACCCCAAATAAGGGCTCACCAGCCATGAAACCGTCCAGGGCGATTTTTTGGATGGGCGAATTTACGGCTGAGTCCGGTGCTAAGGTAGTTAAGTGGTCTTATGGTAGGTGAAATTTGGATAATACCAGGGTAGTTAAGTGGTCTTATGGTAGGTGAAATTTGGATAATACCAGGGTAGTTAAGTGGTCTTATGGTAGGTGAAATTTGGATAATACCAGGGTAGTTAAGTGGTCTTATGGTAGGTGAAATTTGGATAATACTAGGGTAGTTAAGTGGTCTTATGGTAGGTGAAATTTGGATAATACTAGGGTAGTTAAGTGGTCTTATGGTAGGTGAAATTTGGATAATACCAGGGTAGTTAAGTGGTCTTATGGTAGGTGAAATTTGGATAATACTAGGGTAGTTAAGTGGTCTTATGGTAGGTGAAATTTGGATAATACCAGGGTAGTTAAGTGGTCTTATGGTAGGTGAAATTTGGATAATACCAGGGTAGTTAAGTGGTCTTATGGTAGGTGAAATTTGGATAATACCAGGGTAGTTAAGTGGTCTTATGGTAGGTGAAATTTGGATAATACCTGGGTAGTTAAGTGGTCTTATGGTAGGTGAAATTTGGATAATACTAGGGTAGTTAAGTGGTCTTATGGTAGATGAAATTTGGATAATACCAGGGTGGTTAGATGCTCCTACAGGGATCTCGCCAGCCCAATGGGAGTGCTGGTTGCTCGTGAATATTAATTAAATAGTGAATATTAATGAGGTCGGTCACAGTGCAAATATTTTGTTATTGGAGTCAACACATTATGTTTCACAATTTAGAAGAGTTTGAATTTAATAATGAAACATTCTCGAAATACAAATGCTGCAGACTAACAACAGAAACAAACAAATTATTATTACAATATTAATGTCTATTGTAAAAGGTTAAATGAAACACATTTGAAACATGTCTGCCAGGAATATGTTCAGAACTATCATGATCTCATTTACTCCAAAAACATTCTTCTCCAAAAAATCAACCACGTAATTATTTGGCGTATTGTTGTAATTTAATATTCATACCATCAACTTCTAAAACATTTACATTTACAGTAATGAACGAACAAACAAACGAACAAATAAAACTTCCAAACGATTTTCAAAGTTATGACATGACAAAACTTACTCGGCGATTTTATACATCAGTTATACGAATAATTTTTACTCATTCATTAGGCCACACCGACTTAATTTTATGGATGAAATCCGCGCACGCATTAGTTTTCGCCTGTTCTCAAAAATAAAAATCTCTGATGACGAGTCTCCACAGATTGGTTTTCTGTCCGGAACTTGCGAACTCATATTGTCGCAAAGCGCCGGCTTGTCGTAAAAATCGTTTTGGACTACCTCAAAACATGCCAATTTTGTCATAAAGTAGTGATATGTACATTCTGCCTTGACTTGTACTGAAAATGGTGTTCTTGCTATACCTTGAATGCAGTGTTTCTAACTGAAGGTACTTCATCATGACTACATGTACTAGAGCTTGTCTGAAATGATTATACCTGTGACAGTAACACAGTTCGAGATGTGTACATCAATATGTGCCTCCTACAAATAAAGACTTCTTGTTGTTTTTTGATACTCTGTGTTCTGTGCTTCAATTCGTAATACCAGTCCTGTGGTTTTAGCAGCATTTTTTTTTTGGCAGCATTTTTTTTTTTTTCGCCCTCTCGCATTAGTTTTGGGGTCTCCAGAGGATGTCATCCATAAAATTAAATCAGTGTGGCCTTATGCCATGCAAAAAAATGTTACTTCTTTTAGCGATTATTTTTTATCACTCAATCACTTCGGTAAAAAACACAAAATTTACTAGCCGCTACTATGTCGTGTGACTAGGTCTATTGTTTACAAATTATAATCCATGACTGGCAGGATACATCGGTACGTATGAATTACAATAACAATCAAATAGTCCTAGTTTGGAATGTTTCCAATGAGTGAGTGCTGGTCGGGCCGACCACCGCCAACCAGCGTGGCGAGATCTCTATCCTTATGGTGAATGAGATAATAATAATACTATTATTAGAATACTAGGGTAGTTAGGTGGTCTTATGGTGAGTGAGAGTGTGATAATACTACAGTGGATAGGTGGTCTGATAGTGAGTAAGAGTGATTATACTAGGGAAGTTAGGTGGTCTTATGGTGGGTGAGAGTGTGATAATACTGCAGTGGATAGGTGGTCTAATAATGGGTAAGAGTGATAATACTAGGGTAGTTAGGTGATCTTGTTGTGGGTGAGAGTGTGATAATACTACAGTGGATAGGTGGTCTGATAATGGTAAGAGTGATTATACTAGGGTAGTTAGGTGGTCTTATGGTGGGTGAGAGTCTGATAATACTACTGTGGATAGGTGGTCTGATAATGGGTAAGAGTGATAATACTAGGGAAGTTAGGTGGTCTTGTGGTGGGTGAGAGTAATAATACTACAGTGGTTAGGTGGTCTGATAACGGGTAAGAGTGTTAATACTAGGGTAGTTAGGAAGTCTCATGGTTTGTGAGAGTCTGATAATACTACAGTGGATATGTGGCCTGATAGTGGGTAAGAGTGATAATATTAGGGTTGTTAGGTGGTCTTGTGGTGGCTGAGAGTGTGATAATACTACAGTGGATAGGTGGTCTGATAATGGGTAAGAGTGAGAATAGTAGGGCAGTTAGATGGTTTTGTGGTGGGTGAGAGTGTGATAATATTACAGTGGTTAGGGGGTCTGATAATGGCTAAGTGATAATACTAGGGTAGTTAGGTGATCTTGTTGTGGGTGAGAGTGTGATAATATTACAGTGGTTAGGGGGTCTGATAATGGCTAAGAGTGATAATACTAGGGTAGTTAGGTGATCTTGTGGGTGAGAGTGTTATAATATTACAGTGGATAGGTGGTCTGATAATGGGTAAGAGTGTTAACTACTAGGGAAGTTAGGTGATCTTGTTGTGGGTGAGAGTGTGATAATATTACAGTGGTTAGGGGGTCTGATAATGGTAAGAGTGTTAATAATAGGATAGTTAGGTGATCTTGTTGTGGGTGAGAGTGTGATAATATTACAGTGGTTAGGGGGTCTGATAATGGGTAAGAGTGTTAATAATAGGATAGTTAGGTGATCTTGTTGTGGGTGAGAGTGTGATAATATTACAGTGGATAGATGGTCTGATTGAAGGTAAAATAATGATATTACCAAGGTGTTATTTTCTTTACAGTATGTCGTTACATTTAGGCAATGAAGTGTTTGATGTTTATAAAACTCCATTACAAGCAGACTACAATCATCTTTTTATCAGACAAGGAACAGGTTTACAAGGACAAGCTGTATTTAAAACAAAGTTATCATTCAGGTACGCATCTCAAATAAAACACACGTTAATTTTTAATTCGAGTGAAATGCTTTATTCTCGAAATGAAAAATTTTCACATCAAATCCAAAATGGCTGACTGGTGGTCATTTTGTTTACACAGATGCAGTTCCATGGCGCCTTATCTTGTGAATGCCTGGACCAATCAAGTTTTAACTTCACATATACATCAAACATTAGGTCATGTATATATCATATATATGTCTATAACACGAACAGGGGCTATGTCATGACTTGTTGATGGTGGAATAAATGCAGTGTGATAATACTAGGGTAGTTAGGTGATCTTATGGTGGGTAAGCGTGATAATATTAACGGTACAGTGGTTAGGTGGTCTGATTGAAGGTGAGATAATGATATTACCAAGGTTTTTTTTTCTTTGCAGTATTTCTTTACATTTAGGCAATGAAGTGTGTTGATGTTCATAAAACTCCATCACAAATAATTTAACCTTTTCACCACCAGTTCCCTCTTTTCATCAAAAATTCACAAAATAGTCCTATTTATAGTACGCATTTTCTGTCAGAAGTTTGTGGACAAAAATAGCCAAATTGATGAAAATTTTGTCCGTTCGCTCCAAAATTAAGGTTCATTTCTAGAAATATTGATAAATATAAAAAAAAAATGCAGAATAATTTGGAAGAGAAAGTCTGGTTGTGAAAAGGTTAAATAAATACACTAATTCTATTCCAGAAGTATTTTAAGTTTCATAAATGAACTTTGATTTCCTTGGCAGACCCCATTCTACAGACAGTGCCACTCACAGAAAGATGACCCTTTCTCTGGCAGACAGATCATCTAAAACACAGAAAATACGAATGTTGCCAATAGCAACACAAGACCCCGAAGCTCATAGAGCTGAAATGATTAAGGTGAGTCGTCTGTCATCCTGTAATGTTGTTGTCGTTGTCAACTGGTTTTATGATCATGGCTGCTACATATATACAGGTTTGTTTGTGCATGGCTGGACTAACAAGCCTCTTTCTGAGTTCACCTGAGTGGCCTCTCCAACTTAAAACTGTGAGGGCGCCAGACTCATCAAAATAATTGATTATTACTTAAACAGAAAGAAGAAGAGAAACTGAGAGCTGCAACAAGGAGAGAAAGTCAACAACGAAGAATTCGTGAGAAAGCACATCACCGAGGTTTAACAGCATCTTATCTAGAACCAGATAGCAGGTATGAAGAGTATGAAGATGATGAAGAAGCAGCCATCAGTCTGGCAGCCATTAAGAATAGATATAAGAAAGGTAATCTGAAAGGTAAGTTATACAGTCTGTCAGCCATTAAGAATAGATATAAGAAAGGTAAGTTATATAGTCTGTCAGCCATTAAGAATAGATATCAGAAAAGTAATCTTAAAGGTAAGTTATACAGTCTGTCAGCCATTAAGAATAGATATAAGAAAGGTAATCTGAAAGGTAAGTTATACAGTCTGGCAGCCATTAAGAATAGATATAAGAAAGGTAATCTGAAA